GGGGAAGGGGAGGGGGGCGGTGCTGGCGGCGGAGGCGGCGGCGTTGATAGAGATGGGAGATATGAAATGGAATGAATTAGGTTTTGGTTGGGTTTTATATTTAAATAAAGTTGGTGGGGTAGGTAGTAGGGTGGGTATATATTTAATTTAATTTAAAAATATTATTATTAATATTAATTGTGAAATTAAAACCTGATTTTTGATTAAATAAAGTAAAAACCTGATTTTTTAAAAGTCAAAACTAAATAGCTGGTTTAATGTAATTTCCACATTATATAAGGGGCCAAAAACATTTGTACACTTAATGGGCTTAAACTAGTTGAACAATAAAGGTGAATACTGGACCAAATAAAAGGCCCAAGGATTCTTTTATTTATTTATTATTATTAATTATTATTTTTTTAACATTTTGCTTATTGATTAATAAATTATTTTTATTGCCTGAGCCAAAATCATATTAATCTATTTATCTCTGGAGAGTACGGAGTAAAAAAAAAAAAAGTACTTTTTAAAAATCATTTTAATTTTATCTTTTATATATTTCAGAAGTAAAATAACATCATAAACAAATATAACTTATTATTCTATTGAATAAAGCTTCTTGTACATTTCATAGATGACAATATGGATGGCATTGTGTACAAATTCAAAAATGAATGGACGGGAAAGTGTGTTTTGTTTTAAAACTGACCACCTGTGCAGCGACATAGCACAATATCAAACTTAATGTCAAAAAAATTGTACATATAGCATGATTGTGTTCTATTTTGGCTCTCAATGGAATAAACGAGTGCTGTTCTATTTTATTCCATTGAGAGCAATTCCTTTCCTTAGTCATCTCAAAATATGCATTAGAAGCTTTCTGCTGTTTCCTTCTGTGACCCAACTATTAATAATATGTAACAACATTCCCTTAACATGAATCTCAGAAAGAACATTTGCAATTTCACTCGATTTTCTTGCTCTAAAAAGTCTACTAATAAGCGAATTATACATTTCAATGGAAGCAAGACTTCCTTCTTTTTCGTACACAGTACACTTTATTTTAAAAGACCTTTCGATTTCTCCAGCTTTACAGTAGCCGTGGCTGATGAAGGTTCTACAAGTCACTTCATCAGGTGAACAACCGAGCACCTCCACCTTGTCGAGAATCTGCTCTGGTTCTATCGTCTTCTCCAACTTACACAATCCATTGAGCAGTGGGTAACCACTTCTGTTGCATGGCCCTTTTGCTAGAATATCTCTCCACAATCTAAAGCTTTACCAGAATTACCTTTCTTGAGCAGAATACTAAAAATTCTATTGTATCGAGGAACAAAATCATCAAGCATATTAAAGTCTATAATCTCGTCAAATTATTCCACGCTCTTTATTATACAACTCGTCTACAAATTATGAAATACATATTAGGAGGATCAGTACGAAGAGGGTTTAGTTGCTTCAACATAGTCGCCGTAATATTCTTCTTCACAGTGCTGGCTTTTCTTTTTCTTCATATATTTGTAAAAGATGTACTGAAGGATTATCTATGTTAAAAATCATATGTTAAGGCAAACACAACTTCAGAGAGAATTTTCGAACAAAAATTTAAGTAAACACGGGCTTATTTTGAAAAAGGATACAAAGAGATCGAGCAGCACACAGCCAATAGCATCAAGTAGCCAAGGCATGTTGGCTTTTATCTTCTTCCATTCTGTGGTTCTCTCTAAAATGCTGCATTTATTCACTCAAATTTGTTACACAACATAGGATTATTTTTGATAGCCAATTATTTAAAGACCAATACTGCATTTATTGGAACACAAGCCTTTCTTTACCATGCTTTAAAATTTGAATAACTAGGATGTTAGGTGCGAATAAAAATGACGTTTGACCAGCACTTAAAAACTTAGCAAGGGAGAGAGAGAGAGAGAGAGAGACCTTCCAACGTATGTTGCATTGGCAATGAGCGCAAAAACGAACATTAGAGGGTTCAATCCCTGTAAAGCAAAGCAAAAGTGTGATGAATTTTTCCTAAATCTTCTTAATGTATTACTAAGTTATGACATGCGATCACAATGTAACATAAGAACCATACTGTTATGATTAAAAATTGAAGAGAAATCAATACCTCCACACTCCCCCTTTTGATCTGGTGATTCAAGGCAACGTTAAAACATATCAGAACCCTATTTATAAAATCTCAAGAGAAAATCATGAATTCTAAACCAATGTGGATTAGATAACACTCACACTCAACAAAATTTGTGGGATTCGTCCACCCATATATATTGCAGTCATCAACCATCCCAACCATTGTCCGTATGCATTTTCTTGCAATGCTGGTTCCTGTAGATTTATTGCTGCCTTAAAGTAAGCTTTATGAATGTAAGCATAGACATTCTGTATTTAGTAAAGAATAGAATAGTGTAGTAGAAAAACCTTCATAAATCTCCTTCCTGTGAAAATTGAGCCACCGGTATCTGTTAAAGCTCTTGCTAAGAAGGGAAGATTTGCAGAAGCAGCTGCAAATGCTCCATATCCCACCTGATATTTTCCAAAAATTCACAACTTACTCCAAGTTTTTTGACAAGAAATTGGTTCTGGTGAGTAAAGACAGAAAACAAACTTCGTTGATACTTGTGGATAGTAATTATGCTTACAAGACGAGGAATATGTTGAGGCTGACTAACAATAACATGCTTGTTGAAGGAAGGAAGAAATGATTCATCTTCTTCAGTTGAAGAGTCTGAATCATGTTCCAGAGCAGGAGGACCGCTCCTCGCCTTTATATAACACTTATTCATTGGTGAACTATCACTGCCAGCCAAAGATCTTGCTGACCTGCATAAATTATATTGCTAATTAACCATGCTGATTTGTCTCAACTGTACATTATATAGATGCATACAGTGTATGTTTTTTTCTTCACACATTATAAGAAAAGAACATAAAGATTGATTTCTTACACGTAGTAGAAGTCCCTCCTATGTGGTACCTCAATTGGAACATTTGATGCTGTTTTGCTTCCGTCTTCGAACTTGGATTTTGGAGCATCAGTCTCATCTTTATCCTTAAAAAAAGAAACCAAAAATCATGGGAATTAAACTTTTTAGTTACCGAATTAGAGAAAGTTTTTCAGATCATAACAAAATTTGTATAAATCGATGGATAATCATATATAAATCTTGAAAAATTCTTACTGCTTTTGCTTCAATTTTACGTCGCTTTCTCAAGCACGGAAGGAAATGCTTGTAGTAAATGCATTGGAGCACCAATATGATTGTAACTGTTGTGTAGAGCTGCAAGAAACCAGACACTAAACAATTCATTGAATATTGTAGGGAAAGTCATTTGTTAAATTAGTTTGGGTTAGACTTACCCATGCAGTGTACAACTGGGTGGGTAACTGCATAAAATCAACAGATCAATCTATTAGAATCACAAAAGGGAAAAATTCATAACTAAGAGTTTAACTATAACTCATTTCAAAACTAAGATAAAATGTTTAAATAAATCAGTTATTTTCTAAATTTTATTTCTGAAATAATTAATTAAAAGTATATTTTATAAATTAAATATAAGATCACAATTATATGCAATTTGATCATAAATTATCGAATTAATTGGTTACAAATAACTTCTTGATCACAGAGGTCACAAATTATTTCACAATCACAAATTTATCAAATTAATAGATTACATATTCTTTGGTCGCAAATCACAAATTTTATTAGTCACAAAATATCAAATTAATTGACCACAAATTCTATTTAGAATACAAATTATCAAATTAATTGATCACAAATTCTGTATAGGCCACAAACTATCAAATTATTAGTGTTAAATTAACAAATTTTTAGGTCATGCATTATTTATTGATTTATTTCATTGGTCAAAATCAACTGAATCATTTGTGGCCACTGTCAACACTTGTGACCACCACCTCACCATTGCTATCGGCCGCATCGTTTGCTGAAACCATTGCTACCAAAACCACCCCACCACCACCACCACCGCTAAAACATGGAAACCACCAATACCCATCCACTCTAGCTGCCATTTAGGCCGCTACAGGCGTGATCTGGTGCTGCGCAGCTGTATAGCCGCTACAAATCACCACCGCACAAAACCCAAAATTTTCTCATTTTTATTGTCATTCCGCCTATTGTAAGTTTTTTTTTTTTTCATTATTTTATAATTCCAGTATTACTATTTTCTTTTTGTAGTTTTCCTAACAAGCATAACTTGAGCCCAACTTAGGCGTAGAGGTCGACCGAGCAACTTAGACATGAGATGGATCGGAACTTGTCTGAGCCACAGCTAGCTCTCTTTTTCATATAACATAGGGATTAATCTACTTTTTTCCAAAAGCAAAATGAGAAAAAAAATTGACAAATGTGTACAAGACATTAGATTATCGAATGATTGATAGCAGAAAATTAACAATGGATCACGGCTGTTCACAACTAGAATAGTCTGTCATAGAATTGTCTTTACTCCAGAATAATCCATTATGGACCCTTTTGTCTCTTTGTAACAAGTGAAGTTAAATAATTATATAAAATAACTTTCTTCTTTAGCCTCTTCTATTTCTCAAATATTCTTCTAACCTATGGACTATCTAAATTAATTATCCTCTACCTAACGCTAACGCTAACGCATTGTTTGTTTTACTAATCCCGCTCTTATCTACTCCGAGCTATTCAAAAACAATTTGAGCTGACACGAAGCCCGTGTTTAACAATAAGAAGCTCAAACTACTGCTAAGAAAGGACCCGTTTGTTTCTCATTATTTTAACAGAGACCTTTTATTTTCAAACTAATGGATCCTACTCTTAGACAAATTGGTCAATAAAAGCGGCTGTTTTCCATTACAACGGTACAAATTTTCATTAAAAGTGGAAACAAACGGGGGCTCAAGAAGTGTATTTGCAGGTGCTTAGAGTGGATGATCTATCCAAAAGGAAGTCTAGTGCTTCTGCCTATAACTTCGTGGTTGACCAAATGAGTTGACCCAACGATGTTGAGGCTGGATTACCAGCTTAAAAGTTTTATAAGTCACTTTCCTGAGTTATAGATTTTTTTTTTTTTGCAGTGGTTTCTAGTCACGTGGAGGAAATTTACAGGTGTTACTTTTCTTCTTTTATAGAAGTTCTCATGCTAACTTTATGAAAAGAACTACTTCAATAATCACGGATTTTTTTTTTAGGTACCTATCAATGTCTAGTTGACGTGAAAATTTTCTCCAATAATCTCTTACTTGACCAAGTGCCACATTAAATAGTCCAATGATAATAATCATTACAATCCCTTGAATAATAGACTCTCCCGTCCACAAAAAAATGGTCACACACTTCATCAAGATCTCGTGCTAGGCTAGAGTTACCATGGAGACTCCGCTACTTCCAGAGTCACCATAAGAAAAACTTCCTATTGCTATAGTTGATAGGAGACTTTCGTTCGGATCTTACACACACATGAAGATTCATCATGCGGATCTGTATGACTAAGTATAGGTATCGGGACTTGAAGTTCGACGCACGTCACGGAAGATTAACCTATTAGGTGAAATAATTGAATCTGTTTTAAATCATAGACGAGCCAATATTAAGTCCAAATGGAACTTTGCTTAACATATAAAAAGTTCTATGTGACCCATGCATTCAAATGAACCTCACAAATTGACTAAAGATGATTGAGTTGAGGAAAAAAAAATCATCTTGTTATAATTCAAGGAAATAACTTCTGTAAATGTTAAAATANTACCCAACAATCCAAGTGCAAAGAAATGCCAAAGAGACACCATCCGAAGATTTGTTATTGAAGTTAGTAACAATCTGTGGGATTTCTGCAACTGCCCAACAAATTAAACTCGCAATTCCGAAACCAAATGATATTTCATCATTGAGGTTGCACAGACAATCCTTGAAGCATTTTTCAATCCATCTGATACAAGGTTTTTTCTCTTTTGGACAGTACGAAAGTTTTAAGACCTTCATTTTTATCTCTTGAAACTGGCTTTCTAATTTGGCTTTGTCAATTGAACCGCTAAGAGTTCATGAAGAAAGAAAGTTGACAAACGTTTACTAGAATATCGCTTATGGATGCGGAGAATTGTAGGGGGGCAAGTCTATTTTATATACAGAGAGAGAGAGAGAGAGAGAGAGAGAGATGCGACCTTCACCAGTATCGACCTAATAGTAATAAATCTAGTGCAGATATAACGAGTGTAAAACATGAAACGAAACCGAGTACAGCATATGCTTCTGCATCTTGTTCCCATGCGTTTCTTCACATATTATAAAATAATTGAATTTGTAGTTTCTTGCGGTTAAAGGTTACATTACAATTCAAAAGATAATGAACTGACCAAACACAGTTTGGTTAACTTTCTAACAATAATGAATCCGTCCCATTTATATCGGCCTGTTTTGTTTTTCACACAGATCAAGAAATCTTATTTAGTAGAGATTAAAATATAATTTTTAATAGATTGTGATAGAAGTGTTTGAAATGTATGGTTGAAAAGTTGTGGGACCCATGAAAGATGTAGTTAATATTGAGATTAAAATCTGATTTTAATTCGAAACAAACACGGCGTTAATGTTCTTGGAAAATTAATTTTTGCCAAATACTTTCCTAGTTTACCCTTATTTAATTATTGATAACTAATATTATTATTGGAAGTAGTATAAAAATAAGGGTATATTAGTAAACAAACAAAATAAAACATTCTTAATAAAGAAACAAGACTGCATAATTGAGACCAGAAAATAAGGAAAGTGAGCTTATGTAAATGGGACGGATGTAGTATATTTTAGTATGTTATTTGCATTATATTATGAAGAAAAAGCATATTGGAATCATATCCAAAAATGAGTTTAATCATGAATCCATGAATCCATGATTAACCGGTAGAAAAATTAATTGACATGATTTGAAAGATTTCGTGCAAGTAGACATACTTCTATGCATTTAGAAAAGGTTTAAGTGGCACAATAAATGAGACATTGACATAAATTTTATCCATTTTCAATAAGACGATCACTCAAAAATAGAAAACGAATTACATTTGACACTTGTATCCAATAAACCCTATCAACATTTTACATCATGCATTTAACAACAATATCTTGTAGATGTAAATCAAATTAAAAATAAAATAATTTAAGTTTTTTATTCTCCATTTTTTTAGATTCGACGGTTAACAAAATATCAAACAACATAAATATCGTATGTTTTTATCACCGTCTATCAACAAAAAAATAATCGGATATGCATATTAAAGAAACTATTCAAACAAGTTTAGCTAAGCATCATAACTCAACAATAAAGAATTATTTATTTCAAAACTCTCAAATTTTCGTATAAATAAACTTTTAAACTTAATCATGTTATATGTGGTTCGATAATAGTTACAACACGTAGCGGTGTGACATCTCTTAACGTGTCAAAATCATAACCCCTGATTTGAATAAGTGTTATTTAAATTAGGGGCCATAATTTTGACACATAACAAATGTCAAATTTGATGTACATAAAAAAAATGTACATGTAGCAGTTTTGATTAATTTTTGTAGAGACGATGTTAGATGTATCAAATTTTTTTACTTAATCACTTACCGACTACTCATAATAGGGGAGTGAAAACAACATCTTGGGATTTTTTTATTCACGCGAGGCCTGCATGCATGTGAGAAAGGGTAATCAATTTTGTGCATTTAATTATGTACAAATATCTTTACCCTTTTCGTGGAGAATCGTCTAGAGAAGAAAAAATTTGAAACCTGCTCGTCTCAAGGATCTATTCATGTCCACGTATGAAAACATTCCTTCAACATTGGTGTTCTTACAAGACAACTGTCCACAAGCTTTTTAATGAAACTTACACGTCGTACATGGGAAAGATAAGATGATGTACGACCAGTTCTAATTTGCCATATTTTCATTACCTCCAATTTCCAAAAAATATCTGAGCAGAAATTATTTTTTTAGTTAAGGGAAATTTCCGAGATATTATTTATAATTTTGAAGATTAGAAAAGACATTTTAAAATTCTAATGGGTCACCTCACCACTAGTTACTGTCATTATAACGTGCACCATATCTTATCATCAACTATTTTTGTACTCAATCGTGAGTTATAACTTTTTATTTGTTTGTTGATAAACATCAAACAATTTTTATGAAAATCATTTTCTCTGCAAAACATTTTCTAAGCAAAATTTTTCTCTGTAAAACATTTTATTTCCACCAATTTTCCACACTTGCAATCAAACGCACCCTATATGTATAGCTAAGCACCATAACTTAATTTTTTTTCCTTAACTCAATAATAAAGAATTATTTATTTCAAAACTCTCAAATTTTCGTATAAATAAACTTTTAAACTTAATCATGTTATACGTGGTT